TTCCGAACAACTTCCAATCCACAGAACCATGAGCGCCTCCTTTCCAAAACCAGCAGCGAGCTTGGATATGTGCGGTGGAGGACGTCAAGACTTCATTCCATGCTTTCGAGACGATCAAGCCGTATAAATACCTCATTTTCTGGACTTGTCTCTTGTACAGCACTCTACTTCTTCATTTACCAAAAGTTAGCCAAATGTACACATGGGTCTGCTTTGCCCTTTCTTCCAAAAGCCAGGTAGCATCAGAGCATGGTTTTTCCGCTCCGGCACTCAAAAAGACAGATTATCTGGCATATGTGCGGTCTGCTGCTTTGCTCCGAGGTTAAAAGAAAAGAGTGGGCTATGCTGTGATGTTCTGGGACTGGGTTGAGCGGGTGCATGAACATGCTCGAGGATATTAGGGAAAGATAGAAAAGAGCTATACAACATCGTTGTGCTGTGAAGCAAGTCTAGAAAAGAACTGACGCAAGAACCATGTGTCTGGGGCCGCGCTCGCGATCTATTAGCGGGTACGCGACTGAGAGTGTATAAAGTCGCCTATACTTGGCTTCTTCTCTTTCTCTTCTCTATCACACATCCCACTTCTGTTTCACCAAAAACAAGAGACAAAACGACGATGTGTCTGTCCTCTAAAAAACAACAATCAATCCAAAGATGAGCAGCGAGACTCGCTCCCTTGAAAACAAGCAGTTCGTTGATCTGAGGTCTCCGTCCTGCCTCCTGAAAGCACAACAAAATCACCACCAGCGAGTTGCGTGCATCCAAAAGACGATCTACTGATCCCATGCTTTTCTGGACACCTCGCCACGATATCAATATATGAACTGCCTTCTTCCTGGCTTCCTACTTCTATCATTCTACTCTCTACCTATCCAAAAGGGTGTTCCAAAAAGTTAGCCAGTTTCTTACATGTGGGCTTGCTCTGCTCTTCTCTAAAATCTATCAACGAAGCGTATATGGTTGTCTCTGCCTCGAGAAATAGAAAAAGGATTCTTCATAGTCTACATGGACTTTCTGCTCCGCACTGGCATCACTAAAAGCCGAGTGCAGATACTTCATGTCGCAGAATTGCCGACTATTGTTTTGGATGTGTGGCGCGCTGCCTGCAAAATACTCTCCCTAATGTTTGATGGTTTTCCTGGCTTGGAGGCTCGGATCTACTATATCAGCGCGGTGGTCCTCTACTTCTTCTCCGACACTTCATCCGCTTTGAAACAAAAATACATTTGAATCTGTACATGACTGCTTCTCTGCTCTCAAAATCCTCCCCTAGTATACATATGGCTCTGGGGCTTTTGGCACTGAAATCAAAAAGCGATGAACGTTATGTTCTGTTCCGTCTTCCGTTGCGACTTACTCAATTTCGTCATCACTGCAACCATGTTTCCACACGTCGCTACATTAAACCATCGACTCTACTTTTCCCTCTTCCGAAAAACCACGATTACCTGAGTCATGTCTCTATTCGTCTTTGCAAGTAGCTACAAAAGTCTTTCCATCAAACACTATGTGTTGCACACGAAATGAACACAACCTGCGCGCATGCGTCTCCGCCGTTGCGCCGCTATTAGACAATGGGGTATTTGAGACGTCCACGATCTACTCTCTCTATACCTTTTATTACACACTTTCTACCACCATTTACTAAAAACGAATTAATCAATACTTATGACTTGCTTTGTCGGAAAGACTCAAATCACCGCTCGCTTAAAAGCATGTCCATTCCAGCACTCGGTACTCTCTCGTCTATAAAATCCAAGGACTGCGAGCTCTCACCCCCATCCACCTGTATCCAACTTCTGGCCATCGAAAAACAAGAACTTTGAGCTCTGTTTTCTAAAACCAGGTCGGAAGTGGCCATGTTCTGGCTCTTCCGAGATTCCACAACTTGCCAATACGAAAAGCGTACCTGTCTTGCCAATTCCACCCGAAAAGTCGAACGAAATCTCATATGTCTTTCCGCTGCACCAGATAACACCATGGTGTTCTGTGATGTTGTGGACCTGCCGAAGCCTCTATACTCTCAGCAAATGACTGGTTTCTGCTGAGTCGGCGAAGTCGGAATTCTTCAAAACATTAACTCATGCCCACATGAGCACCGAGGCTTGCTGGCTGCTGTATAAAATGTCATCCCGGAAGCTGGATGTTTCTTTATCCTCACTTACTTTATCATACCCACAAAAACAGCAGATGAGCTCTTCTATGGGTGTGGCGTCGAAATTAAAAGTTCATTTGCCTTTTCAATGTCTGCTTCTGAAGCTCGAGTCGAGAACTGTACTTTCCAAGGACATGTTGTTGCTTGGTCTAAACCACTGAAAAGACAAAACATACTCCGAATGAGAGTACTGAACTCCGCCACGAGGATGATCAAATCCCCGCTCTTTTCTCCAAAATTATCGTCGAAACCATTCTATGTCGGAAGCAACTGTATGCCACTGCTCCAGTCGTCAACATCGCCTTCTAGGCCGGCGATGTAAACTCCGTCACGGTGCGTCATGTGTATGTCTCACGGTCCGACGCTTGCCCGAAGTGTTTGAGGAGTATAAAAGAATACGAATCGAACGTCAACGTCGTTATCCAGACCAAGTCTCCTTTATTCTCAAGCTTCCTAAAATTGCGCTAGACTTGGTCATGTGTTCTTTCTCCCTGAGCACCAAAGAACGGCTATAGTGGCTCTCATGGAGTCAGAAGGATCGGTTAGCTGCGGATAGTGTCGAAGGCCCGTCTCATAATTTTTCAAGGCTACCTCTTTGGCACGGTCTCCCAATACATGTAATAATTCATCATCTATACTATGAACATACATACCAACAACCGCTGACCTTTTGAAAATCATTTACCTCGAACGCGACAGCCCACCGCTCATCGCCCATCATCCATTTACTCAACAACCCCCACAACCTTAACCTCATCCGTCCTCCACTTCCTCATCGGCACCTTCCCCAACTCCCCCCTCAACCTCTCTCGATCCCCCCAGACCCCCTCCCCAACCTCCTCCCTGCTCACCCAAGCCCAATCCCCTTTAAGCACGCCAACCCCATACCTCCCATACTCCTCTTCCACCTTCAACAACCTAGTATCCGAGCCCCAAATCCCCGCTTCTTTAGGATCAGAAATTAAGGTGTAGCTTCTCTCATGCACACTCTCGCTGTTCTCGAAAACGAGAAGTTCGGTCTCGTTGGGTGGGAAAGGGTCTGTTTCGCCCTCTACATCTGCGTCTGGCGGACTGTAACCTTTCATTGGGCCGCGCTTCTTTCCGGTTTTGAGGTCCCGGAGTTCGACGCTGGCTTTGTTGCGGCCGTGGGGGATGGAGCGTAGGACGGCGATGCCTTTTGTGTTGGCGATGTCGGAGCGTGAAGTGTCTAGACGCCATGCGAGTGTGATGGTGCATGGTGGATTGCCTGAGACGGATATCGTGTCGGTTGAAGTAAGAATAGTCGGTCGAATAGGCGGAGGCTTTGGCACAGTCGCAAGGGCTTTGAAGGTGTAGCTTGGTAGCGGCGGAGATGTTCGCGGTATAGTTTCCTTCTCCGGCTCGGGTAAAATGGATGGGTCATGATGCTCACCAGCGTACCATGTCGTGATATCGTGAGATCGGAGACGGATGGTATACGATTTCCCCGCTACGAGCGATGATGGGTCGAGCGTATAAGGCATGGGATTCGAAACTGTAGTGCCTGGACGAGTCGACCACATGGTATAGCTGTCGAGCTTTTCGGGGTCTAGTACAAGAAGTCGTCGTTTAATGTCTTGAGTAGCAGTCTTGGAAGGCGCGTAGTCCGCACTTTCACCAGCCTCTGCGTCGACAATCTCGAACAGGCCTTTTGCAAAGGCCGCCTCGGGATCAAAGATGGTGTTTTTGGTGTCGATGGTGAATTTAGAGTGGTAGTCGACATTGCGTACAAGGGTGATGTCGAACGTATCGCTGCAGTCAATGTAACAGAATGCACTGGTGTAGAGAGTGAAAGATATCGAAGGAGCCATAACGATAATCGCGTTACCAGATCTCTGCTATCAACTTCCTCGGTTTTTTGATGCAGTCGCGACGAATATAAGGAACGATGTGTCGGTGGTTTTGCCTACCCAGGCACCCATGGTGATGTGACGTCAACGGCGCTAGTCTCTGGTCGGGTGTCACCAAAACGCCCCAGACCTTGTTCTCGTTCGTCGCATTGAACATGCGCAGTAATTCTTTCCATTCCGCCCCCCAATGAAACATTTACGAGGGCGCAAGGCGAAATGGGGATGCTTACGGGGCGAAGTGACGACATAGCCATCGTGGAGTATCACCTCCCGAGGTCTCTACGCGCCATACCGTAATCATGGCTGTACGTAGTCAAAGGATCCGGGCCGCCTGTTTTCTGAAGAGTTCGTTGGACCGATTACTAAGGCTACATGGTGATGTAGAAAGTAAGCCGCCCCAGAACAAAACCACCGTGTTGTACAATGGGGGCGATGATTCCTTGATTCTGCCTTGGACACCATGTTCTATCACGATCGAACTGAAACAATGATGGTTTTTTGTACCTAGATGCCGGGCAACTGCTGCGGGGTCAAGTTCGAAGACGATCTGTGCGGATTCCAAGTCATAGCCACTCGGCCCCAAGAGAGGCATCAGGCAGATTGACATGACGTTGTATCCTCTCTGTTCCTTCGTCTCGGTCGATCATCTTGTCCAGTCCCACGGCAAATGTCTCGAACAATCGTCATTCCCATGTTTTGAGAGAAGTCGTTCAAGACACTCTCGAGATCCTTCTACATGTTCGGAAACTCCGAGGGCCCAAGGGGGCCCCAAAGTTCTGAGGCAAGGCAGTGTTATTCCGTGGATTCAGGCGTACTCTGGTCTCTATGGAGTTTGTATGTTGTTGATGTACGCCATCTGACGGAGTCGAAACAGCCCCAATGGATGTGTATAAAGCACTGGCATTCTGGACACTGGACTCTTGATCGTACCGCAGACCAACTTCTACCCAGCTTAAATACATCCTGACATCACGAAAATGTACCGCAATCTGAGCATCCTTGCCATAGCACTCTCAATCAATGGACTTACCTCCGCTAAGCCCATCAATGGGTCAGTCACACCTCTTTCATATCTGTCGATCATGCAAAACTGACCTTTCGTAGAAAGTTCCACGCTGTGAAGCGGGCAGATCCTGTGTCCTACCCCTACGGCGATGCACTCCCCAACGAATTTCAGTGGCTTGGCTGGGACGCCAACGATGAAGATCAAAAGAAAGACGGGCAAAAGATACACGAAGCGTTCAAGCAATGGGTACGTAATTTGTCATACGAAGAGCGATCTCCGTTTGCTTTTTCAACTTTTCTCTATTTCACAATGAGCGCATGGCTGAGAACTCTTCGACAATTTAGGCAGACTTAGCCAAAGCAGGCATTACGGCTGCCGGAGGCGCTCCCGACAACGTGCACTTCAAACGTTTCTTCGGCAAGCAAGACGCGGACGACACAGAAGCCATTCAAAAGACCATGGCAAACATGTACGACACCACAGCAGACTCGGCTACAGAAACCATTAAGAAAATGGTCCTTGAGCGTTCTGACTTCGGCGACCATTGTGAGAAAGACGGTTGGTTCGCGTACACAACTCCCACGGATGGACACTTCCACCTGTGTCCCAAAGCAATTGCCCTCAAGCAAAATTCGGAGACCGAATGTGCGGATTTCAAGCGAGACTACATCGACAACACGGCGAGGACGCTGTCTTTTGTCATGCTACACGAGTTCACGCACTACGACTTTGTGGCAGACGACAGGATCGGTGGTATCATTGATAACGCCATAACTTCTGTCAATTGCTTCAACCTTGATGATGACGAAAAGCTCAACAATGCTCAGAGCTACGCGTTCAACGGCGCAGTAAGTTTTCGACATTCATTTATGTATACAGCACAAACTAAGAGAATACTTCCAGGAGCAATACTGGTCCGACAAATGTCCAGACAAAGACTTCACCGACCCTGGTGTTAAACGACCGGAGCAAACTCCTACACCGACCCCCACACCCACACCCACACCAACCCCCGAACCCGTAGCCCCCTACGCCGACCAACCAGGCCAATGCCACATCCACGTCAACGAATACGAAACCTGCGACTCTCACGACGAAAACCTCAGCGTCGAAATAACAATGTGGGACGTTTCCGGCGCCCAAATCGGCTACGTCGACAGGACCGTCGCCGGTGCCGGAAACCCACTCATGATGAAGAGCAAGCTAGAAAACACCCTCGAAGTCACGCCAGAGAACCAGAAGGATTACATCCAATTCACGCTGGGCGGCCAGTCATGGGCGACGAACAAGGATAACGATGAGAGTGCGCCGACGTATTGTAAGGTTGGGGGCTGGGACCCGAGGGCTGGGCCGTTGTGTAATGAGTTTGATAGTGGTACGGCTCAGGAGTCTAAGAGGCAGATGGATTGTTACTTTCAGTGTGCTTGGGGTGGTGGGGCGACGTCTGATGGATCTTGAGACTTTCGTAGGAAGGAAGGAAGGGCAAGATATACTAGATGTTTGCGTGGAGACGGACTGCGTTCCTGTCGGAAGAGGAAAAATGGACACTCTTTTTTATGGCTTGGGAGGATTAGATTTTCGATCAGTAACAGCACACAATTATAAAGCAACGGAATGTACAATATATCCTCGATTTCTCACACGTCTCACGTAACACATCTCTCATCCGCTCATCACCACCCGATCTATCGACTACGCATACAGAAGCAGACGAAAACGCTCGATAAACACAAGAACAAACAAACAGGGGTATCTCAAGGCTCAGACGATATGCAACAAGGACGTTAGAACGCGTCGCTCCCACCGACCGTAACGCCTTGTGTCAGTCAGGGTCGTCTTCTCACGAGCCGGTGAAGAGATGCCAGACAACTGTAAAAACAGGTAGCAAAGTCCACAGAACGCCTCAAATGCCGCATGCAAAACAAGTAAAGAAAATTAGTTCGTAATCAGCCGCCTGGCATGTTGAGTGCCATCAAGTGGCAGACCTAGACTTGGGGGCTGTTAGCAAGGACGGCGTGCGAAGAAGATGCAGAGAGCTCAAAGCTCCATCCTCTCAATGATGCCCTCGCTCATCGTCCGTATCTTACTCACGGCCCTCTCTCGGTCTACCAGTGACTCAACATCGCTGTCGTCATCGCTCTCGTAGTACTCGGCATCCATGCTCATGTCTCTGGCTGGCAGGTACCGCTGTTGTTCTGCATCGACGACATCTCCGGGGTGATCGATGACCATGTTGTCGAGCTCATCACTGTCTCCATATGCCTCAAGTCCCTTCCTAGCACGATCGCCGAGCCAGTATTCCGCGCGCTTCCTACTGCCCGCATTCGCACTGGACTCGTATTTTGATGCTTTGAATTTCGACATGAGCGACATGGCAACACTTGGTGAGTTCGACAAAGCCGATATCCCACGGAGATAGAAGTATGCGACTCGCTTCCGCTCCTTGTTGTACAGGAAGAAGTGGTGACTCCAGATCGCACCGTCATCAGCAAAGGGGTCATCTGACGGCTCCCATGCATAGTATTCACAGCTCGACATGTCCATCTCCGTATCGAGCAGGTGCCAACTTCGCGGACTCCATATCGGCGACCCAAGCGGTGTGACTGCGCCTGCTGGTAGTCCGGCGGAGTACACCTGTGGGCGCAGATAGTACATTGTAGTGTCGATCTTGTGCATGAAGCTGTGGATGGTCTCGCGACGGAACTCATCAGGGTTCAGCGTGTTCGCGAAGTCGTAATCGATGTGTGTGGCATTGAGCGTCGCGATGAGGTATGCGAAGGTGTGACGGTTTGCTGCTTCGCTGAAGGATCCGAACGGCGTGTCTCGGGAGATGTCGAGTTGGTCTGCGAACTGAGCCGCAGACTGCTCGGACAGCCCCGCGACCGCTGATAGCAGGTCCTTGTGCCGCTCCTCGAGCGTCCTCTCGATGCGCTTGTACAGCTTCTTGTCGCTTCCCGCTGCTTTAATCGTCCAGAGATCGCATCCGCCGATGATTGCTGTGTCTTGTGTATCGAAGTTGAGGGCGAGGTTGACCTCGTGGAGGGCGCACAAATCGAGGTACTACGGTGCCACCGGGTCAGCTATGTCGTCACTCTGGCCTTATCGCATCGAGCACTTACCTTCATTGCGCTTGATGTGGACTCGCTTGGGCTGAGTGCCTATTATAGAATATATCGCGTATGATCCGAAATCTTCGAGATACGGTATGATTCAGCGCGCCGTGGCTGCTGGGCGTGGGTGTGGCGGTGGTCGGGAGGGGGTAGCCTGCGCGAACCGATACAACAAGTAAACACGACTCTAGGCTGGCTGCGGAGAGGAGAGGGTACTGTCGTTCGGCCAGACGATCGTCTAGCAGGCAGTGGACATATGTATGGCTTGGGCGTGGTAGTGGTGTGAGATGTCGGTGTCGCTGTAACGACGTGGTCGCGATTGCGGAGAAGGTCAGCTTGGCGGTGTCGCCGAGCTAACAGCGGCATGTGTGTCGGGTTGTCCTTCCTGATTGGTCGATGCGCAACCTGCCTCTCAACCAACAACAGCTGCCGATAAGAGTGGATGGGTCGGCGACTGGTGTTGAGTGTTGATGTTAGTTGTATGCGGCCATGCCGAGTGTGTCTGGTACGCGGGGCATGTCATCTGATGGTCGAGCACGTGAAGGATAGAAGATGCCTGGAGATGAATCCACGTGAATTCGGCAACGTATCATTTGATGAATGCATGTCAAGGTTCTGGATGAAGGACCAAACGCTGATCCGAACCAATTGCTGTCACGAAGTGCAGGTGCGCAGTGTCTCGGCGGTGTGGAGACCTGTAGCTAGATGAATAAGGTAAGTGTACCAGCATAAGGAAAAAGAAAAAAGGGAGAGAGAGTTGTCAAGTCTATCAGGGTGAAGTCTCGATATCATGATGTGTGATCACGTTCGAGCCCTTGAACCTCTTGTGCCAAACCTAGCTGTGTCGAGCAAGCCCGCCAGTCCGAGGTGTATGAATTGTAGTAGATAGAGTACAGCTACCGCCATCCGCTCTACAAGGCAGGATGGCAGGTAGTGCGTTCTCCAGATGATCCAACCCCTGCGCCGTGTGATATCGTTTCGCTCTTGACGCCTGCCCTTGGAAAGATGTTTAGCATGAGCCATGTTGTGACAGTCGACTGCGTGCCGTAGCCCTACCCCAAACCCCAATAACGCCGTACAATGTGTGTTCGTATGCGGATGTCGGATCGGATCTACAAGATGCCGCTCTCTCGAAGTCGGCCTTTGAATTCATCCGCGTTCTGGAAGCCATCAGGCGCGGTCAGTGGGGACTCTTGGGACGGCGATGACGGAGGGCCAGAAGGTGAGGTGCGACAGTGCGTTCCGTACACTTTTACATAATCTTGGTAACGATATCGTCCTCAGCCTGACGACAGGGCGTGTCAGCCAGCTGGCGCTATGGGTGCGTGCGGCGAAACAGACCCGAAAGTCATCACACCTCACTCACCTCCATATCTTCGAGGCTGTCTTGCTGTCCTATACACCGGAGCACGTTCTTTTTGCTGCTCTCTTGCATCTCACCGGCAAGTAGTAGCTCGTCCAGGATGAAGTAGGCTTTTTGGAAGTTGAAGATGATGTCGAGCTCGCAGACGTTGCCGTAGTACTTGTCCATCTGCTCGACGTAGCGGTGGACGATTTCGAGCGTGATTAGCTCATTGTCGGTCGAGTCGCAGCCGGCGATAAAGAAGAGCGAGGCATATCGGCGATACACGATCTTGGTGTCTGGAGAAAGTGTGAGCTAGCGAAGCTCTTACCCCTGCCGGACCCACTGACCTTTGTACTCTAGGAAGTTGCACATGCGGGTGCGGCGGGCGAGGACGAGTTGCGAGACGTCTTTGACAATCTTGGCCTTGTCTTTGGGGGCGAGGGTGGTGAACCACTTGGCTAGGCGCTGCGAGCTTCAGCAAGGGACTTTGGATTCTAGGGTGAGGGACCAACCACTTTGCCCTGCCGGGACAGCAGAATGAGGTACCTGAGCTGTTAGCGCTATACTTCTTTATGGGCAGTGTATGGAAGTGCATCTTACTTGATCGTCATGGTGTCGTGTGAGGAGAAGATGGCGGTAGCTTGTGTCTGGCGCAATGGGGGAAGATGTTAGGTTCGGCGATCGGCGGTCACAGGCCAGCCCCGCGACTTTGAGACGCCAATGCGCCCTCATATCCCCGCTATCACCATCGAAGTCTGAACAGTAGACATTTGCGCGCAGGCAATTCTTCTCTAGCCCATTCCTACTAATCATTGCCTTAAGCCTTGCGATTCAAATCATTTGCGCTACTGCACATCCGACGCGACTGCTATCCTAAGACGACCCACCCGCTGACAAACGTTCACCCTTCATCGGAATCTCGAATACCCCCGAAGAGTCACCACCACACAATATAGGAGGCTCTTTCGTCAGAACTGATCTATCTCGCGTGATAATTGCGCAATACGACTGATCGCCATCATGAAGCTCGTACTATCTACGTCGTATGTCTCTCCATCTCTCCAAATGCCTTACCTAACAACCCAGAAATACCATGTCCGGTGGTCCTTCCGTGATAAGACGACCCTTCTTCGAAAAATCAAACACTGAACTCACCTCCTCCCTGCGCGCAAACTTCGCTGCCCACCAACCCTCTCCAACACCCTCAAAACCCGACTACACAACATGGACCAGCAAGACCGACTCCGCCCTATACGTACCCACGCACACGCCCTCACCCCTTACCGAACCGCGAGAATCCTACGATATCACAGTCAAACTGTTCTACCTCCCCAACATACCCACCGACAGACGCTGCGCACAAACACGAGAAGCGATAGAACTAGTACTGAAAGAGCTGGGCACATCCTCGATAGACCTCCTCATCGTCAGTTTCCCCGGCGTATCCTTCGACGCCGACGATGAAGATTCCGATCTCGACGAAGACGACGAACCGCCCTCGCCCCCCTCCGCAACACAATCCACAACCGAGAATACCACGGGCGACTGCCCCGACGCCGGCGCGCCACCAGAAGACATAGAAACCATGGTAACAACATGGCGATCGCTCGAGAAGCTGCACGCAGAAGGCCTGGTATCGAAACTGGGCATCGCAGAATTCGGCGTCGCGCGCTTGACAAAGTTCCTCGAACAGACCAAGATAAAACCAAGTGTGAATCAGATCAACGTGCGGGACTGCTGTGTCGTACCCAAGCCGTTGATACTGTATGCGAAGCAACAGCAGATCGAGCTTCTGACACATAACGATTGCACCAACATCTTACCGCGCGGCACGCTACGGCAAATACTTGGTTCGGGGGAGAACGGGTCCGGTGTTTTGGCAGGAGAAGGAAATCAAGACGGGCTCAAGGGCGATGTAGAGCCGCAGTGGGTAGTCAAA